CTGCTTGTGTTCTCTCTCTTGCTGTGTCTCTCTCTCTGTCAAATAAATAAATAAAATCTTTAAAAAAAAAAAAAATACAGTCAAATGATTTTAAAACACTCCAGAATGACTAAACAATTTCTTTATTCTTAAAACTGATTTTTGGTGCAGAGAAAATAACATTTATCCTCTCTGGAATTATGGACCCATTTAAACCACTTCCATCACCAAGGATTAGTCAGGATCCTGAATGCTGCTTACAACTTGTGGAATCAATCAACTTGGTTTCCTAAGTGCTTCAAGACATCTATCCACACTCTGCCCCCCAACAAAGTGACATGAAAGGGAATAGGTTCCAACAGAGTCAAAACTGCCAGGAGATATTTCAGAGTGTTGTGCCGATGATGATCACCATGGAATGCGTTTTAGACTGTTAGATTTCATTTTCCCCATAAGCTGGGTAAGAATGCCAATCCCAAGTGTGTTATTCTGTCAAGTCAAAAAGTTCCACCACCCTGACAGATTCAGAATATAGGTTCAACTATTAAAAGAGCACTACTCCAAGTATTAAGGAGCTGCTCTGGGTGAGGAGATTAATTCCCAGACTCATAATTATGATACACTGTTTCAGAGCATCAGACTACCAGCTCTGTTCTTACCACCCATTGTCCCCAGGCTGAGTACTCACCCCATCGGGCCTGCCGTCTGAAGCAGTGACGATCAGAATGTAGCGATCGGTGCTCTCCCTGTCCAGGGCTTTCCCTAAGGTTAGAATCCCAGTACTAGTGACAGAGAAAACAAACAAACAGATTAAGACACACAAAGATCTTAAGTCACAGGGAGCCTTTCTCCCATTGGGAACTACTTTCCACTGTTTTTTCCCTTTCAGCAAATGTAGCCTGAATATTTAAGATGCATGATTCTCAGATTCATGTTGAAAATTGAAAAAAGCTTTTAAGGCTGTTGAGCTTCTTAGCAACAATGAAAAATTGCCAAACTGAAGGAGATAACCGAACTGATTCTCCAGCCTCCAGGAGAAAAATAAAACTGTGCTTAATTCATTCCGGGAAGAAAGATATCTATCTTGTTTATGATTATGTCAAAGTTGGAAGACTCAATTAATCTTTAGCAGTTTCATAATCCTTTGAATCAAGGAATGGTTTCTTAGAACTAATATATATTGTCATTTCCATTCATTGTCACATAGGTATCCATTCTGGAAATGCAAACATCTGAATCCCATCTTTGACAAACATTAGCAATTAACATCTATTTTTTTCTTCTTTCTTAATTTCAAAACAATTGAGGCTCATTGTACAAAATTCAAAAATATACAGTGGAATATTAAAACTCTCATAGATATTGTGATTATTTTTGTAACATTTATTTTTATTCTCTATAATAATATCTGAATACATTATATCATTTTCCAAAGAGGAATCAGACTGTGTATTTTACATCCTATTTAAGAAAACATAATTTCATGAGCATTCACTCTCTCATTTTATAGTTTATGAAAACAAACTTTTGTCAGATACACTAACAATTTTATCATTTTGTTATTCTTTTGAAATTTAGATGTTTCTTAATTTTATTTATTATGTAATGGGAGATGAACAGCCTCTGGACAAATTCTCATAATTTGAATATTTTATACTACTTCATGCCCTTTCACCATTTAAAATAAATGCCTCCAAGTATTTATGCCCTTTTTCTGCAATGTAATTTGTTTTATAACAGTTTTGTCACTTATAATGCTCTCTAAAACAAGTTCCACATTTATGTCTGAGATATTACCATCTGATTTCCTACATGACATTTTAATAAAGTCCTAAAAAACATCTATTGTAGTGGACAAGTTATATTAATATAATAAAACATTAAAACATCTATTCAAGCATGAAAACAATCTTTTTTGATTGATAAAAGGCTTTCATATTTTAATACAAGTGCTTTTATTGTTACACTAGAATTTAAGCCATTCACATCAAACATGGTAGTTGGGTAATGAGACTCAACATCAATGAATCAAAGTCAGAGTCCCAGTTACTCTGTTTTACTGTGTTGTTGTTGATCATACAGACTGAAAAGTTCTAAATGTATGGTAGAACTATGGAAAACTCTACGACTTGTACATTTTTAAATGTTCTGTCAAAATAACTGAAAACCAATTCCCAGAGTAGTTCATAACAATGGCTTTTGGAGTAACTTCCCACACTGCAGATGGTTCAGATAATCTCATTCTACAATGACTTCAAGAGAAAAGTAAGACATGTATTGCTTCAGAGACTTATTCATAAGCTACTTAAGAAATGGGAGACCTGAAAACCCAGCCATAGTACAGTGAAAGAAAAAAAGAAAACTGAGTTATTGCTTTCCACTTTTTCCCCCTCAGTTTAAGGTTCAAATCTCTATATTCTTCTTTATACATTAAATTAGAAAATCTCTTGAAATGTATATTGTATTCCCATTTAGAGCCATATTATACATAAACAGCTAATTTTTAACGGTCTGGTGTTTATCATGGAGACAGATCTTTGCTTGAGATGATGTGTGCCAGTGAGACAGGATATTTGGGAAATGGAGAAGGAGGGGAAAAATAGGTACTATTTTTTTGGTATTTATAGACTAGTTGATGGGTACACACAAGCATGCTTTCCTGAAATTCCAGAAATAAGTAGCAAACGTGAGTCTTCCTACCAGCTGGCTGGAAGCTGCAGACCAGGATACATGGGGCTGCATTTAGGAATGCAGGAAATCTTCTAAGTTCCCATAATAAAAATATGTAAGCATCATTTCTGTTAAAACATCAACAATGGTGCTACTTAAATTTTACATGACTGAAAACCTATCTCACAGGAGTGACATCAGTGGTCTTGAAGATGGTCGTCAGCATCCCCAGTGTGACACTATGGTGCCTGTTTCTGGAGGGAGCAGAACTACCCTGATTCACAAAGACTTGTGTTTGCCATTCTGGAGGCTGCCGGAAGGAATAACGCATGCTGTTTGTCTTTATTTTGCCTAAGTCAGAGCTCACTGGAGGCAGAAAAGCCGTGGGTTTTTCTGGAAGACTCTGTAAGGCAGGAAACAACCTGCAGTCACCTGAGGCAAAGATCATAGTTGAGGCATACAAGAGAGCGTTGGATGCCTGGGAGGAAAGATGGGCAGAGAATTTCTTGGGAAATTGGGGCACTTAAAAGCACCCGTGTATACTTGGGAATGGAACAGAACTGAGAGTCCAGAGATAAGCCCATATGTCTGTGGCCGACTGATTTTCAACAAGGATGCCAAGATCATTCAATAGGGAAAGAATTGTCTCCTCAAAGGGTGCTGGGGCAATTGGAGATCTCCACGTGAAAGAATGAAGTTGGACGATTTTATTACACCATATACAGAAATTAGGTCAAAATGGATCAACAATCTAAATATAAGTACTGAAACCGTGAAACTTAGACAAAAACTCGAGGATAAATCTTCATGATCTTAGATTCGACAATGGGTTTTAAATGGGACAGTAAGGGCATGAGCAGCAAAAGAAAAAAATGGGTATACTGGACTTCACCAAAATTAAGAATTTTTGCCATCATAAATAAAGTGGAAAAAAAAACCCTAGAAAATGAGAGAAAATACTTGCAATTCATATATCTGATAAGAATCTGGCTCACCAAATGTACTGGGGACTCTTAAAACTCAACAACAAAGTACAAATGACCCAATTAAAAATTAGTCAAAGGACTTAAACAAGATATTTCTCCAAAGAAGATACAAACACGACAAACAAGTACATGAAAAGATACTCTTCAGGGGCGCCTGGGTGGCTCAGTTGGTTAAGCGACTGCCTTCAGCTCAGGTCATGATCCCAGGGTCCTGGGATCGAGTCCCGCAT